GATGTTCGACCGTTCACGGCCAGCGACTATCGATCCCTCTATGAATGACAGTGAGATAAAGCATACCTTACGATCAGACAGAAAAATCGAAAGGAATCCGGGCCGATCTCCTCTAAGATAAGAAGAAATTCGATCGTAGGCACCGATCAGGGAGGGAGAACGCGAGGGAGCTCGGGGTATCTAGGAAAAATCTTTCGGCCGAGCGCTGGGACGCGGGTCGAGAGCCGCGTCGAAGACCTTAAGGAATTACTCGAAGCGGGACGCAGTGCGGTATAGTTAAGCCGCCCGAACGCCGATCCAAGCTGCCCCGAACGGGCCCTAAGTTTTTTTTAGATGTCATTGAGTCATGTGTTAGTTTATATTGAAGAAATGGTACTAGTTCTTTTACTAATTCAATTAAAGATCAATATGAAAAGTCGTTGGCTCAATCATTAATTTATGTTAAGCATTATCTAACTTGATTGTTGGCTTATTTATAGGGGCTTTGGCAAAATTAACATTAGAAGTCAATTGAGTAGCTACTTCTATAAGATCCTCTATCACCTTACTTGTCCCATCTTTTTCTAACTTTATATATTTGTTAGGCACTTGCTAAAAGGAAATTCTTTTTATTTTATCCATATATTTTGTTCACCCCTTAAGGATGTTGTTGCTGACATATCAACCCTCATTTTAGAAATCTTGCTCATTTGGTCAGCATTATTTTCTAGTATTTTTTGTAGAGCAACTCCATCGTTGTTTCTCCTACTTTTATTTCATTTTAACTCTTTACTTTTTAAACTTAACCTTGAAGGAGACAGTGTAGATGGCTGCAATGCAAGATCAGCGGTTTGACGAATTAAAATTTTTTTTACAGTGTATATAATTTAAAATCATTAGCTTCTCAAAGACAAATAAAATTTAAATTTTTATTAATTTTTTTTTATATTTTATACAAATTTTCATGAAATGAATTTTAAAGTTCCTTTTTTTTAATGAATGCTTAGTTTCTAACTCATTTTGAGCTCTATTTAGGAATTAATGCAGATGAGCTGAGCTGAGCTGAATAAGCAGTTGGCTATTTGGTCTTGAGAACGATTCATATGAGGATTATAACAAGTTTATTAAAAATCAAATAGCTTAACAAAATAAATAAATCTTAATTGTCCTATACTCAAATTTCTTATAAGCAGTTTGTTGAAAAAAATGAAGGAGTCAGGTCAAATAATGTTCTACGAGCTTGAAAATAAATATTTAAATGATACTGTTTATTGAATTGTAATCGAACTTGTGAATGAGTTTATTCATGAGCTTAAAATACTGTTCTTGGTGAACAAAAAAGAACTTAACAACAAGCTCTTTAAATTTTCTTTATTAAGTGAATAGTCATGAAAATATTCAAACTTTTTTGATTAGTTAATGAAGCAATCATGAACAAACATTAATCAAATAGAGTCATGAGTAACTCATCAAACACTAAATTCTTTTGCAGCCCTAGCTCTGCACCACTTATTCAAACCCTAGCCGCAGGAGCGGAATCAATCTTCTTTCTAAGAGGGCACACTGTCCATCTAGACCCAACGTGAGAGGAGCAAAGACAATGTAAAATAATATTTTAAGAGGGACAAAACTAACATTTCAAGAGTGAAGAAGATTCAATTGTCTTCAAAATCTAAATTTGGACCCTACATAGGTCCACCGGTAAAGAACATATAAAATTTAGAATTTAATACAACTAAATGTAAAATCATAAAGTTAACAAAGGTATATAAGTGCTGCACCACATCAGCCCACTGCCAGCTCTTGTGGCAGTAAGATAATTAGATATTTTTTTATTAAGAATTTGGCATTTACCGCCCCCCTTCAATTACCGAGAAGGCCTCTGCATTATCATTTCAGGCTTTCCTTCTTTTAGCAAAATGACAAGATAAAACAGGCTTAAAAATGCACCCCAATTTGGACTTATTATGGAATTGAAGCGATGGACCATTGGACCCCCCTATATTACATTAATCCACTGCTGACATAAAACATTATTAAAGGTAAAGTTATTTTTATAATATATGACTTTAATTTTTTGAAATATATATTGCTGATTAATAAGTTGAGAGTAAATAAAAAAAGTGTTTTTATCAAATGAGCCCTCGGAAAATTCGTGTTTATTTAACATCTATAACATCTTAAGTTTACTTTTTATATTTCTACCACCTAAAATTTTTATATCATGAATGTGGCATGTGTATGTAAATATTATAATTTTGATGTTATATGTTTAAACACATAAAAATTGAGTGATTTGTTATTAAATCTTCCCATTTATTAATGCAACAGGAGATTTTGTTCCCATGATAACGCTTGGCTAGAGTTTTTCCTTACTCTAGCTTTGCAATTCCTAGGCATTACCTTCAGGAAATACGAACGTAAAACATGTTTTTTAGATTAAAATCCATTTATTGTCCCTCTTAGCTATTGGGTTTTGTTTGGGGTAACGGTAAGGTGTCATACCCTACTTTAAGGAGTTTGGAAAAATTATTTGTTCGTACTTTTTCAAAAAATTGTGATGATGCTTTGCCACCGAATCAGACTAGATGCGGTGATTACGATAAAAGTGCAATCTTTGAAAAAAAAATTGTACTAATAATTATAATTTTTTGAATAGTAGTTTCTCTCCACAATGGTTTCTTCAAACATCTGTGACTGTTAGTCTCATGTTGTTGCCCCTTATCTCAAATGAAATGAGATGAGTTTGAATGCTAGGTTTTGCACAAGTATTTTGAGCACTTAGATTAAGGGTCCGTTTGGGGCGGTGGTGCGACACCGTACCGCAGTTTTGTTTGTCTGGGTAAATTGTGTTTCGACAACTTTCTAAAAAAGCTGCAGTTAAAATCTATGTTTTACTACCACTCATGACTCGGTATGATGACAGCTTTCTAGTTGTGTTCTAACTTTAAAAAGAAAAAAAATTTGTAATAGCCACCACAGCTTTTTGAGCATCAGATTATTATCCAGGAGCTTCACAACTGTTTTTTAATAAACTACAATTGCGCCAGACAGACCCTTAAACACTATATAGAATAACAAACTTCAAACAAATTCAAACATGTTAAATGAGGTTCAAAATGAAGTTTCAATAATAGTGTTTGAATATGAACAAATTTATATTCTAATTAAAATTGAACTTATTAAATTAATTCAAATAAGATTTGAATTATATTTGAATGCCACAATATTTGCTCAATGAATTTTCAAATTTAGTTTGATTTATTTTTTGAACTTAGGCTTTAATCATTAGCTTCAAAATAGAGGTTTAAAACTTGATTCTAATGCGAACTTCTGTTTTGAGTTAATGGTTTAACCATGAGTTTCTTTAGAAATCGCCACATTAAAAATGTAGAATTATGAATTCAGCTTATGAAAAAATTCAGTTACCAACAGCCTCTTTGCATTTTCAATTCTTAGATTGTGATAAATCATCATAAACATTTGGGTTATTTTTGACTCATCATCCTTAGGGAGGAAAGTGCAAACAACTAAATTTTATCTATTTGTTTCGTTTGAAGGAATAACTTGTTAATTGAAGGATGAAAATTATGTTATTCATGTTTCTATTTTCATGTTTTCATAAGAGTTTATGAATGGAATCATAGGGAGAATATGCATATCTGGGTAAAGGATTTGGAAGTGCTGCTGTTACGCTCCTTCCATGAAGCATCTGATGTTTTGTTTTGTTGGGTTTGGCAAGGTGTTGGAGTGAAAGCTAGTTGTGTAGTTTATCAGATATGCTTTAGTTACCATTATTTCACAATATCAGATCTGATGTTTTGTAAACAAGTTGGCATTTATAAGCATACCATGGTTTGGAATGGTGAATTTATTTTGATCTTTCCTTTGAAAGAATTGAATTTGTGTGGTGGAAGAAAGTTTAGATGTTAGATATGTAAATATATGAGAATTGTCTGTTTTGATTTGTTGATTTTAAGAGATGACTTCAGAATAGTGCTTTTTGCATACATGTCACTTCACCTTTGCATTTAAATGTGCATTCTATATTGTTTAGATGTTAAAACGTGAAATTTTCGATGTGATATGTAAGATTTGGATGGTATAAATGTAAAAATTAACATTTAGCTGTTATATATGTAAGACCTTTAGACATCCTCATGAGAATCCAAAAATCACTTTGCAAACTACAGGGAATGCGAGCAAAAACTAGCCTGAAGCACATCACCTTCTATGATTAAATTTTTTCTTTTTTATTATTATTGTAAGTCGGCCGCGGGCAAGACAAAGCTACTGTTCGGATATACTTTGAATGTCCAATTTTTTTTGTGGTATATTGTTGGATCTACTATCTGTGGAGGACACTCTATCAAATAAATATATTGTCAAGACAGTTTTGTTACAAGATCATTTTTACACAAAATAGCTTCCAGAAAAAAACAATCAGCTTATTCGTATAAGCTAGAGATCAACAACTTATCAGGATAAACCGTTTATCTGAATAATTTGAATAAGCTGCAGCCGCCCCAGACCCTACCAGCATTTTCATTTTTAAAAAGTGAAATGCATCTTTTCATTCATAGGTAAGATGGCATGTGTGTAAAAATTGAAGTTTAGGTGTTAGATATGCAAATACATAGTAATTAAGTGGTATGCCCGTAAATCTTAAATATATTGGTCAAAAGTCAAGCACGTTGCTGATAATTTATCTGTTTCTCTGGATGATACTGGTTAATCATCATGACTTAATTACTGGATATGATGATCATAAAAGCTTTTGAAACTTTCAAACTCAATGTAACTATTTATTCAAATCTTCCTATGGATTTGCAATCTTCCAATGTGGCTCCAATATTTTTTAAAGCATTATTTTGACAGCTCTCTTTATGTGATATTACATTATTAATCATTTTAAGCTGGTTATGACCAACGCTTGCATGCTTTTTATAATTTGCATGGCACGGTATTTTATTTGCTCGGTTTGCTTCTTTACTTTTGAGTGTCTTATGTAAGATCTTTTCTAGGGTTTTGCAAGTGGAAGTCTTGACGCTGATGCTCAGTCTGTTCGCATCTTTGTTGCCGATGGTGGCGAATGCCTTGCCGCTCAAAGCTATGCCAAGAACATGGGCCTGTATGGAGAACGTGTTGGCGCACTGAGCATTGTAAGAGGCTTCTTCCATCGAGAAATCGATTGGATTGTTGATTGTTTACCTTGAAAGTGCTATTGTGCTATTTCTAACTCCTATATGCTAAATTTTGCATCTTTGTGAATATGCAAATGTACAATACCACATCTTTTCAAATTATAAGGAGAAACATCAAATCCGTGCTCACTCGACAACGCACACATGCACACCTTTTGTATTGCCTGTTTCAACGACACCAGTATGGTATAATTGCTATTTGCTTGAAGGGATATTTAAATACATAGCACACAATTCTCATTTCTTTACCTATGTCACACCTAAACTTTCATATTTACACACAGGTGTCTTTAATATCACATCAAAAATTCTACTATTACAACTTTTTAAAAGTTAAATACACATTTTCATGCATGAGTATAAAACACCAAAGTGCCATGTATGTAAATTTTGAAGTTTAGGTGTGAGATATGTAAGTACAAGAATTGTTTGCTATGTATGTAAATTACCCTTGCCATTAATGTGCTTGGGTGATTCTGTAAAACTGAGAAATTGAGAGTTGGAAACTTTCCCGTTTGTGTGTTTACGTCAAGCTTCCATTTTTTTCCTTGCAGGTGTGCAAATCTTCTGATGTGGCAGTCAGAGTTGAGAGTCAGGTGAAACTTGTAATCAGGCCTATGTATTCAAACCCTCCTATACATGGTGCATCTATAGTGGCGACAATTCTGAAAAACAGGTAAAGGATCTTCTTCAATTATCGCACTGGTGTGATTTGGGTTTGAAAGTTGGATATCTTTTGCAGCTCTTATTTATTTTGGGTGTATTGAAGGAAACTGACCCAAATTAATCTAATTTTTTATTTTTTGATAATTGTGCCTGCATAAATGCCTTGTGAATAAACAAAAAAATGACATTTTATTAGTAGCGTGAATGAGGTTAAACATATGCTGTCAAACAAATTTGTGAGAATGACTGAACTGCTTTTACTTTTAGTTGAAGCATGCATAAGACTAATTTCTTGAACCTAAAAACTTAATACTCTGACTCGTATGTAGTATAAGAATAGGCTACGATTTTGAACCAGATTTAAGCTTTGTTTGTTTGGGTTTCTTTTCTAAAAATTTGCTTAAAAACTGTGATTTATATTAGAAAAAGTGTTTTAAACGTATGAAGAACTCACAATTTAGGTTTCATTTGGTGGAGCTTCGGTTTTTACAAAACTTTGTTCAAAATGTGGTTTTTAAAAAACCGCATTTTAAAGCTATTGGTAAATAGCAGCTCGATATGAAAACAAATAATTTTTTTAAAAACGTTTTTATAAAAGAATCACAACCAAACAAACAAAAAATAAATGACTTTCTAACTCTCTGTAGGACAGAAAGCACTAAAAAAACTCTTCTAATCGAGACCTTAGAATAATTACAAAATGGTGTTTTGTTAAAGCACTTCTAGAAAAGTATTATAGCCCAACCATTTACAATATATATATATATTTCAATTTTCTAAGATGACAAAAGCTATCAAAATGCTAATTCAAACAAAGCCTTAGTGTCCGAGCCCACTTTCAAGGAAAAAGCTTATAGCTTGAGTGAAATGGAGAGGCCAAATACGCAAAGAAAGAACAATAGTATTATTTTTATGCGTTCTTACTGTTTTATAATATAATAAAACACATATAGTATTTTCTCAATGCCTTCTTTTTTTTAATTTTCGTTTGATATCTTTAGTAGCATTTATTTCTTCTTCCTGCATCCCCCTTGAATCTCTTATATTAACTTTAGCAAATATGCAATTTTGGCTTTGAACTTTTTCAGTGAGATGTACAATGAATGGATGGTTGAGTTGAAAATGATGGCTGATCGTATAATCAGCATGCGTAAACAGCTGTTTGACACCCTGCATGAACGAGGTAAATAAAATTCTTTCCCTTTTTTGCTGACAGAAATCTGCATGAACGAGGTAAATAAAATTCTTTCCCTTTTTTGCTGACAGAAATCTGCATGAACGAGGTAAATAAAATTCTTTCCCTTTTTTGCTGATAGAAATCATGTTTGAAGCAATTTTTATTATGTTCTTTCGTGTGATTGGGACCCAAAGGAATGCAAATTATTTAAGTGGGTGGACCATCTAGCATATTTATTTTAAACTGTTCTTTCATTTGACAATGTAACAAGTAATGATTAAGCAGAAACAATCGAGGAGGTGACTCCTATAATCACTTCATTTGAGAAGAAAGAGGCGAGGTGCTCATCTTTGTCACATAAAATTATTGTCTTAAAAACAATTAGATATCATCCTTATTGGAATTTTCTTACAGAACTTAAAACACAACAATTACTCCTTATTGATCACATGATGCTTGTGTTATACCAATACAACTCATCCAGTTTCCACAATAAAAAAATTTGAAACGCAACAATTGTTGGACCATCTAGCATATTTATTCATATTTATGGTAGTATGAGAATTTGATAAATCGAGTGAATGAAATGTTTGCAATAGTATAAACTAATAGCTTAAGATCACAAAATAATTTTTTTAACAAATAATTTACTATATGTACAAGGCACTTACGAAAAATATAGTGGTATAAGAAAAATGATGGTGAGTGATTTTGCTGCCCTCTGCAATGAAGAGGAGGAACACAGTGAAAATAATAAATTTTAATTCTAGAACTTAAATGAGAAAAGGTCCAAATGAGGAACTAGCAAAAAAGGCTGGATTCTTTTCCTCTTTCTATAAGGATGTATCTTGGTGTATACTTTTTTTCTGATGATAACCATCTTATGGATAAGACCAGAGAAAGGGATCAGGAAATACTTAAATTATGAAGGTCTACATTGGAGTGTAAAGGCCTTTTTTTGAGTCGATCTAATATTGAATACATGAAATCTAATTTTAGTATTAGTAGCTCTAGTGGCGGAGTTGTAACTATGTGTGATCAACTTATTAAAAAGTGTGAAAGCTTTAGATATCTCGAGTCTATTTTTCAATTTGATGGTGATATAGATAGGTATGTTATTAATAAAATTCAGCTTCGTTGGTTGAAGTGGAGGAATGCATCGGACCTATTGTGCGATATAAAAGTACCACATGGACAAAGGAAAATTTTATAAGATTGTGCTAAGACCTGAAATGCTTTATGACACAGAATGTTGGCCTATAAAAGATAAGCATAAAACAAATTTAAGTGTTGCTGAGATGAGAATGCTTAGGTGGTGAGTGGTTTGACACTTAGAGACAAAATACAAAACAAATCTATCTGTGAAAGGGTTGGTATAGCTCCAGTGGCAAACAAGATTAGAAAGAGTTGTCTTAGATGGTTTGGTCGCATTAAACAACAACCATCTAATGACTCGATTAAAAGAGTCGATGTTTTAAATTTGATTTATGTTAAGAAAGACAGAAGTATACCTAAAAGGACTTGGGCATATTTTATAAAAAAAATGATCTTAATCTGTTAGAATTAAATGAAAATATGACACTCAATAGTAGGGTTGTCAAAACGACTTGTTCGCGAACAACTTGTGTTCGGTTCGTTAAGTAGCTTGTGTTCGATTCGTTCATTAAGCAAACGAGCCAAACACGAATATTTTTTTTTTGCTCGATATACAAATGAGCCGAACACAAATAAAATCTTGTTTATTCGTGTTCGACTCATTTTGGCTCGAATATGTATATATATATATATATACATATATATAATTGATTAGTATTATTTTTAAATTTTTTAATTGAATATGTGAGTACACAAGTTTATAATCCATTGAAATTATTAATTAAAAAATATGTTTAAAATTTATTAAATTCTATTTACAAGAATATTTTAATATAAATAATATGTTCCAAACTCACCATACCCTTAATATCCCATGACCGTGTAACTATGACCGACAAATGACTCGTTGGTTGTGAATAGCTCTTGTTTGACTCACTAAGTAAATAAGTCGTTCACCAATAATTTTTTTATGCTCTATATATGACGAGCCGCACGATATTTTTTTTTTTTTTTTAATGAGCCTAATATGAGTCGAGGCTGGGGTCGAGTCTGGGCTTACCCAATCGCTTGTTTAGCTGCAATAACATTGATTTCCCTAATTTTTTTTTATAAAAATGCCGTTTATTTGAAACAATTATGTGAAATGTTCTCATTCTTATAAATTATTAAAACCATAATTAAGATGATATTTAACGAAATAACTATGCTGTTTCTTCTTACATTTGCTTGGTTAAAATACCTAAACTTCACTTTCTTACATTCATGCCTTCTTTCTTATGCATTAAAAATTGTACTTCACATTTTAAAAATTTAAATAATAAATTTTTTTTAATGTGATATGACAAATTTAGGCGGTATAAATATAATAATTAAAATTTTGGTGATAATTAGAATGTATGTAAATGCCCAACTTTAAATTAATAAATTATTAATATTATTTGTCCCCAAATGGCGCCATTAGGTATTGTCATTACTTCAGGTAAAGATGATGTCGATTTTGGAATTTTATTCTATTGAAATGCTATTTCAAAAAATAAAATAATAAAATTGTCAGTTTTAAAAATTTTCCTTGTTTGATTTGAAAAAAAGGTTGAAAGTCGGGATCTGAATAGTTATGACCAAAGTCTTGCCGCATCAAAAAACATTTCAAACTTTTAGTTTGAAGTTGTAGTTTGACAAATGGCTTCGAAATTGACATTTTAAGCTCGATTCAAATTAGGTTTGTGCTCTGCCCGATTCTCATTTAAATTGAGTTTGAAACCTACTATTTGCGCATCTACTTCACAATACATGTTTATAATTTGGTTCAATGTTTTTACACATCTAACAATTAAAGTTTTATATTTACTTATATATCACCCAAATCTTTACCTACCAAATTAAAAAAAAAAATATCACAAATAATAATTTCTTAAAAGTGATAATGTATTTTAGTGAATTAATTTATTACCTATGACATCGAAATGTTATAAATATAAATATCATAGTTTAGATGATAGATATCCCTCTTTGATGTCATCTTGTAGGCCCGTTTGCCGACAAGCTGCGGGCGTCGCTCGTTTGGGATGCGGTGGTTTACCCTATCTCCTTATGGCCCG